TTTAGGATTTTTGCATCAATATTCATGAGAGATATTGGCCTATAGTTTTCTATTTTGGTGCTGTCTTTTCCTGGCTTTGGTATCAAAGATATGTTTGCTTAATACTACTTTCTTTTAGGATGAATCTTTACATCTTTAAGTATAACTTGTTCCATATCTTGAATCAAGAATAACCAAGATGTGAGCAAACTGTTTTACAAGTCTAGGAAGCATTGTGGCTTTGTTTACAAAGGAGTTGGAAACAACCTAAGTGCCCATCAACAAACAAATGGATAGAGAAGCTGTGGTATAGTCACACAATGGAACACTATGCTGCATTGAAAAACAAGGAACTCATGCAATATTATTCAAAATGGGTGACCCTGGAGGACATTACTCTGAGTGAAATATTTCAGTCACAAAAGGACAAATACTGAATAGTACCACTGTTGTAAAACAAACTGACATCAGGTTTGGGGGGAGACTTGGAAAGACAGGATAAATAATGCATACTGCATTGAAACAGATGAGGGAGAAAACTGTTTAAAAGGGATATGTGATTAGGTATTATTGTCATGATAGGAGTGCAGAATGAAGGCTTCATAGTGGAGTGGACCTGGGGGAAGGAATTGTAAACCAATGAAAGAGTTTTTCTTTTACTTTTCAAAGACAAGAGTGTGCAGGGGGAATGGGGGAGAGTGGGCAGGGTGAAAAGTGCAACAATGAATGAATGGAAATCCAAAGTCTTTGTAAATTTTTATTAAAATGAATAATAATAACAAACCTAAAAACAGCAATCACTAAGATTTCACTTTGTAAACACAGAAGGAGGCAATGGAATCTAAAGAAATTAGCAAACATTGCTTTTTTTTGTAAATGGCAGAAATATTAATTATTACACATTTTATTTATGCTTCTCCAAGTTTTTCAAATCCCTATAATGAATATGCATTGCTTTGGTAGTCAGATAAAGCTCACAAGTGTCATCTGAAAATATGCTTCGTTCTTAGTAAAAGTTTTTGTTATTCTAAAAAAAAAGGATGAGAGAAATTAGATCTCTAAATATTAGCTATTACAAAGACGATATGGAAATATGATTAACCATTTTATGACATTATATAGATGAACAAATTCTTTAAAAGCTGAATACAAATGCAGAGAATACCAGCAAAATGTTGACTTGCAGGTGTTTTGTTGACTAAGTATATGCATTTAACTATGTGGATTATGATATATTGTGAATAACATTGAGAAGAATGACAATTCCAGAACACTTAATTGTAATTATAACTTGTACATAGACCAAGAAGCAGTTACTTAAACACAACAAGATGTTTAAACACTGTGGTTTAAAATCAGGAAAAATGTACATCAAGGCTATATTCTTTCTTCATATCTATTCAATCTGTATGCTGAGTAATTCAAGAAGCTGGACTGTATGGAGAATAATTGGCAGAATAGGAGGAAGACTTATCAACATATGACAGACACACATAGCACAACTTTGCTTGCAGAAACTGCAGAAGACTTCATGTACTTAATAAAGGAGATCAAAGAGTTTATAGCCTTCCTTGTAGATTACACTTCACCATCCAGAAGATAAAAATCCTTAGCACTGTGTCTATAGGCAGCCTTATAATGAATGGAGAAAAGATTGAAGTTGTCAATTATTTCATTTTACTTGGATCCACAGTCAACAACCTATCGTAGCAGTAGTAAAACAAACAAAGAAAAGAAACCTCTAAACAATGTGTTGTGAAGCCAAATCTACAGTTAATAGTCTTTTTAAAGTGCTAAAGAACAAAGATATCAATTTAAAGACTAACACATGAAGAAGTGTTCATAATTCCTAGCTCTAAGAGAGATGCAAATCAAAACAACTATAAGATATCATCTCATCCCATCCCAGTAATAATAGCACAATTTAACAGAGCAGCAAACAACAAATGTTGACGAGGTTGTAGAGAAATCAGAACCCTTGTTCACTGTTGGTGGGAGTGTAAAATGGTGCAACCACTATGGAAGGCATTATGACATTTTCTTCAAAAATTTGGAAATAGATATACCATTTGACCCAGCAATCCCACTACTGGGAATATACCCTAGAGGAACCAAACTACCACGCAAGCAGATGTATGAACACCCATATGCGGCTTTGTTCTCAATAGCAAAGAGTTGGGAACAACCTAAGTGCCCATCAACAAATGAATGGATAGAGAAGCTGTGTTATAGTCAAACAATGAAATATTAAGCAGCACTGAAAAACAAAGAACTCATGAACTGCTATACAAAATGGGTGACCCTGGAGGACATTATGCTGAGTTAAATATCTCAGTCACAAAAAGACAAATACTGCATAATGCCACCATTATAAAACAGGACTGACATGGGGTTTGGGAGAATACTAAGAAAAGAGGGGATAAATAATATACATGGCACTGAAACAGATGAGGGAGAGAACTGTATATAAAGAATATATGATTAGGTTCTATTGGTATGACAAGAGTTCAGAATAATAGCTGCATAGTAAAGTGGCCTGGGAAGTGGGGGGAGGGAATAGCTCTATATCAATAAAAAAACCTTTCTTCCAAAGGAAAAAGCTAACTGGGGGCAAGGGGGCAAGGAGGAAAATTTGCAACAATGAATGAATGGAAATACAACTTCTTTATGAACTTTCATTAAAATCTCAATATAAAAATAATAAAAAATTTTCAACCATGTGATTCCTCCAGCTTTAATCTCAATGTGGAGTTTACCTGTCATTATGACTTTTTATTGCCATTATTTTGCTTTGTTATATAGTTGGGTGGAAATATGCGAATGAGGCATGTTAGCCTATCCTTAAGGGAATTGACTGTCTACAAGGGAATTGGCCAGTCTCAACAATCTACAAGGGGATTGGCTAGCCTCACCATTGAATTGAGCAAGCCAGCAGGAGAGAGAGAGACAGATCTTCTGGTGCTATTGAAGAGAAATCAAGAAAACGTAGGATGCCCTTCCTGCTTCAACTACTCCGACAGCAGCAACATCTATGGTAAACTGGAGACCTGGAGTGAGATGGGACCTTAAGAGAGGAGAGACAATATAGGCAGGACTGAAAACTGTGTTGGACAACTGGAGATGGGAAGCCAATATTGGCAGGAATGAGAACTTGGGAACACTGAACTGAAGACTCAAGGCTGAGATGCCATGCCTGCATGTACATTTTGGGAGCTATCTTGACTGTATTCTGTTATTAATCTGGATTATAATCTATATTTTATAAAAAAATAATTTAAACTTTCTCTTTAACTAAAAGAACAAAGGAAGGATGTTCATTCTTACAATTTCTATGAAATACAGTGTCAAATATTTTAGTCAATGAAATAAGAGAAAAAGTATTAATAATAATTACTAACAGATAGGGAAAGAGAAACACAGAAATTTGGTCTTGGTGGCACATAACACAATAGATAAATCATGAATCTGGGAATGCCTTGAACCAGTTTTCAAAGCTTGAACTATTTCTTGAACTAGTGCTCTTAAACAAGTTCATGGTGAACATTCTAGATCATAAGTAATACACATTTTCAAACATACCTGGTGTATTGTGTTACAGGTTTTTTGAGTGTCGCAATATTTTATTGACATGGACTGGTTCAGCTTTTTGGTGCTCACTATGTATTTCAAAGAACTCTTCTCTCAATTGATCCCCATGGATTCCATTTATCCTTTGTAGGTAAAAACCAGTCAGTAGGTGAGAAGAAAGAAAGACAGTCACTATGACAAAGCTGAGCCCCACAACAGAGGAGAGTATACACACTCAAGATTTGCAGTTGGATGAGCTCATTCCCAGGAAAGGTAAGCTCAGCCTTACCTGCTTGGACTTTGGATTTTAGGGTGGTTCTTTCTGTGCAATTTTTTTTATAAAGAAAATAATTTGTATCTTTTGAGTTGTGGATTTCTTTTAAAATAAAATTAATGTACCTTTTGAAAATTGATAATAGGAACTAATATCACGTTTGCTTTGAAAAGCCTGTTATTTTTTGTTGATTACCTTCTATCTTTGCTTGTATACATATGCGGTCTTGATAATTGCTTCACAGTTGTCAGTTTGTGCTATTGTACATACTGCTTTATATTGCATTTAATATTATAAGCATAATTCTATTGTTTAATAAGCTATGATAAAGTAATTACAGCAACATTGAAGGTCAAGAAATTAAAAAATCCCACAGTTCACTAGCTCATTCAGCTACTATGTTTTATTGATTTACTTTAATTTTCCCATCCATCTTTTATATAGTTCTGTATTGCCACAATACTCATTAGAAGCAAAGATTGTGAAAGTTTGTCTCACATATTTTAGCCTTGTTATCAGGAAGGACCAGTTTCTGAAGAAACATTTTATGCAAATAAAGGGTCATCATAAAAGAAAGGGACCTTCAAGGTGGATTGACATAATAAGTGCATTAAAAGTTTATGCACAGAAAGGGTTGTGAGGATCCTGTAGTATCTAGCAAGATTATCTTCTGAAGTGAGAGGATCACTCTAAATAAAAGTCAGTGCTAAGACACCTACCTAACAACAACAACATATTGTCTATGTTATGTTGTTATGTGTCATCAAGTGGCTTATGACTCATAGCAACCCTAAACACAATAGCTCTGAACACTGCCCAATCCTGAGCAAATGTCTCTGACATGCCTACCCCATTAGCACAAATATATATATTCATACCCAAATATATATATATTCATACCCCAAATATATATATATTTATACTCCAAATATATATATTTATACCCTAAATATATATATTTATACCCCATATATATATATTTGTACCCCAAATAGATGTATTTATTTATTTATACCCCAAATATATATATATATATATATATATATAAGCTTCAGGCTTTTTGTTCATAGGGTTGCTATGAGTCGTGCTTTACTTAAAGGCAATCAACAACATATAAGCTCTTGTGACCTAGTGGTAAGAAACTGTGCAGCAATCCTAAAGGCAAGTGATTTGAGTCAACCAGTTGCTCTGCAGGAGAAGAATGGACAATCTCCTTCCATATAATTAGTTGCCTCTGAAAACCCACTAAAGGGTTAGCTATGGGTCATTTCTGACTCAATAGTACATAACAGGAGAGATAGATAGATAGATAGATAGATAGATAGATAGATAGATAGATAGATAGATAGATACAGATATTTTATATTGATACAAAAGTTATATATATACACATTCTATTATATATAATACATATATTATATATGTTGTTGTTGTTGTTATGTGCCATCGAGTCACTTGCAATTCATAGTGACCCTATGTACAAAAGCCCTAAACGCCATTCTATCCTGTGCTAACCTCTCTGTCTCTGACACACTCATTCCCACCACCCCAAACACAGAATCGATCCATCTCACTGAGGGTCTTCCTCTCCTGCGCTGTCCCTCCACTCTCGTAAACATGAGGGCCCTCTCCAAGGACGAGTCCCTCCTTGCAACATGCCCAAAGTATGTGAGATGAAGCTTCAGAATCCTTGACTCCAAGGAACATTCTGACTTCACCCTCTCCAGGACAAACATGTTTGTTCTCCTAGCAGTCCTTGGCATATTCAACACTCTTCTCAAGCACCACAGCTCAAAGGCATCAATTCTCTATCATCCCTAGTCACTGTCCAACTCTCCGATGCATAGCACATAATTGCAAAGACTATAACTTGGATCAGGCACACCTTAGTCTCCAGCCTGGATAATCTTCAGCAGGATTTTTCTTGATTGTGATGTGACTGCTATTGCATGATATTTTCCACACTCTGTCAGGTCACCTTTTTTTGGAATGGGAAAAAGTATTGATCTCTTCCAGTCAGTTGGGCAGATAGCTGTCCTCCAGTTTTCTTGGCACAATATGATAAATATGTTCAGGGCAGCATCTGCTTGTTGAAACATGTCAATTGATATTCCATAAGTTCCTGGGGCTTTATTTTTACCATTTCCTTTAGAGTAGCCCTCACTTCCTCAATCATTTCATTGCCTCTTGATCATATTTTGTTTCTTGAAATTCTTCTATGTCAACCTTTTTTTCCCTTTTTTTTTTTAATACCGTGACTCTGTATACTCCTTCCGTCTTCTTTGAATTCTTCCTGGATCGTTCAGTATTCTGCCCACAGCACTGTTAAGTGTTACAACTTGCAGTTTGAATTTGTTCTTTAGTTCCTTCAGCTTAAGAAACACCCAGCGAGTTCAGCCCTTCTGATTTTTGGACTCCAGTTCTTTGCACATTTCATTATAATACTTTGCAGATGATGAATTTGAATTGTATATCATTTCTGGATTTGAACTACATATCTTTACATTGGCAGATAGTTCCTTACCACTAGGCCACCAGAGCACCTTGGAATCACATGGAGGGGCTCTAAACAAAATGAGACCAGTAACTCTGATAACTAGTTGAGTTTTACATACATTTTGAATATAAAGATAATCGTAATTTTTGTACAGACTTAGTGGGAGATGTGAAAGAAAGTGATAATGAATAATTCTGAAGTGTTTAGAAAAGAGAGAATGTTTATCAATAGAACTGGAGAAGACTATGGATGAGAGCTCAAGGGGTTAATTTTAGACTTTTTAATTTTGACCAGTAGTCAATCAATTTCCTTTTAGTGAAACAAAAACTAATGAACTATAACTTCCTGAATAGACTTTCACCTTATTATTTTTTCTCAATTCAAGAGCCAAAAAAGTCCTTTCAAAATGGAAGTAGATCCATGCTCCTCCTTTATTCAAAATATTCTGATTATCCCCATTCCACTTCATAGCCCATCTGACTTTAAAGGTCCCAGGACACATTCTTGTACCTCTGGATCACTTAATTCTGTGATATTCACCTCTTTTTCGTCTTTGAACACATATGGCACTCTCTGCTCAGTCTCATGCCTTTCCCATAGACTACTGCCTCTTTCCCTAGATATCATGACTGGCTCTGACACTACATTACAAATTTATTTTTCCTGTTTCATGTTGCTGTCTAACATATTATGTGATTTATTCCTTTGTTTTCCAAATGTGTACTCCATTCTGGAAAGTGAACTCCCCTAAAGCAGGAGTAGCTTCACTTATGGGTCTGTTCCAAGACCTAAATATTGGGAAAGTTTTATGGACACTTTTGAATGATTAATGAAGTTATAAATTTGGACTGGAGGAAATGAGTTAGAAAAGTGGTCAACTCATTTCCTTGATGTTTCCCCTAAATAGGATGCATTTATCTATCCTATAGCTCCTACTACAAATAGTTAGGTGATATAGTGGTCAAGTGCTCCACTGTTAACAGAAAGATTAGTGGTTCAAATGCACCGGCACCTCTGAGGAAAAAGACATGAGACAATCTGCATCCCTATAGACTGCAGTTCAGCAAATCTTGTGAGGCAGGTCTTATCTATTATATAGGACCCCAATGTTGATCTCAAAAAATTGCCATCATCAATCCAGACACAAGGTGGGCTGCACAGTTCCAGGCTTTCCTGTCAAGAAGAGCCTAGCTCTGTTAAGTTAGATGTGATGGAAGAGTAGTTAGTTTTCAACACACTAGAGAAAGAGTTCAACTACATGTACTTAATTTATTTACTCAAATTTTGTCAAAAAGATCTTTATCGTAGCATTGGGAAAAAAAGTAAAGGGAATGAAAAGAGTTCCAAAGAGGTATACTGACTAAAATCTTGAAAATAAATTAAAGACAAGGTAAATATGGTTTCCTGCTTCACAGTTCCTATTTGTTCTCCAAATTAGACTACTAAATGTATTTAGCTAGGGTGTCTTCTGCTTACCAAAGAGGCATATATGACATTTTGGCATAGAATGATCTAATTCTTCAGATTTTGTTCTTTAACTTCAATCACAAATGCTGATAGCTCCATGTATTACTTTCCTTTGATAATACATTCAGCTCTGGGAAAGAGAAAAATATTTTAAAACCATCTGTCTTTGAAATAAAAATGTAGCTTATTCTATAAATAAACTATTCAAATATATTTTATCTAAATGCTATACTTCTTTCTCTGTAGTCCATAGGGAGTTGTGCTAATAGCCCAAAGGCAGCACCTGTCTGGTGGCTCAAACCAGTTACGGGCTCTGCAAAAGAAAGATAGGTACCTCTTCCTGTGTATTTAACAGCCTCCCAAAACCCATCTAGATGATCAGCTTTAAATTTGTTTTGATCCATGGCAAGGAATTTGAGGTTTTTTAAAAGTGTGTATGTGTGCTTGTGTGTATAAAAAACATGCACACACATAATTTTAGGGTGTCCGTTTCATTGAGAAACATTTTGATGAATTTAATGAAAAACTTAAATGAAAGTTTGCTTTAGTGCTTGAAGACATGTGAGTGAAATAATCAATAATAATAAGCAACCTCTCATTCCAAAATTTTAAATATAGCTCTGGTGGCCTAGTGGTAAGAAACTGCACTGAAATCCCAAAGGCACTTGGTTTGAATCCACCAGCTGCTCCATTGGTGGTGTTCTTATTTTTGTTAGGTGCTGTTGAGTCAAGTACAACTCATAACGACCTATGAACAAAAGATCTGAATTCTATCATGCACCATTCTCATACTTCCTGACACAGACACACAAGGACCAAATGAGGTAGTCACTATGTTAATCCACCTGTTTGAGGATCTTCCTCTCCTTCACTGATGCTACACCCTTCCCAACATCATGTCCCTCTCAAAGGAATAGGCCCTCTTAGGAATATGCCCAAAATATGAGAGGCAAAGCCTCATTATTTCTGCCTCCAAAGAAAACTCCATCTGCACCCTCTCCAAGACTTACCTGTTTGTTCTTTTGGGCATCCATGGGATGTTCAGTGTTCTCCAATACCACAGCTTAAAGGCGTCAATTATTTTTCTGTCATCCTTATTCATTGTCCAGCTCTCTGCTGCATAGCAAGTGATCAGAAAGACTACGGCCAGTATCAGATGCACCTTAAACTGACAGCATTACTCCTCAATAATTTGGAGAGGTCTCCAACTGCAGATTGTCCCAGTGCAATGTGTCTCCTTATTTCCTGAGGCGTTGTGAATCCAAGCAAGATGAAGCTGTTGACTGTTTCAATCTCCTCTCCATGCATCATGATGTTGTCTACCAGTCCAGTGGTAAGAATCTTTTTTTCCTTGACATTGAGATACAATCCATATTGAAGGCTGCATTCTGTGATCTTTGGCAGCGAGGGCTTCAACTCCTCCTCTCTTCCAGCAAGCAAGGTTGTGTCATCTGCAAAATGCAGCTTATTGATGAGTCTTCCTCCAATCCTGATTCCACACTCTTCTTCATAGAGTCTAACTTCTTTGATAATTTGCTCAGCATATAGATTGAATAGGTGTGGAAAGAGAATATCACCCTGACACATTCTCTTCTCAATTTTAAACAATGCAGTGTTCCCCTGCTCTGTTTACACAACAGCTTCCTTGTTCAGGTATAGGTTCTGCATGAGCACATTTCAGTGCTTTGGGACTCCCATTCTTCTCAATGTCAGCCACAACTTTTTAAGATCCCCACAGTCAAATGTCTTTGCATAGTCAATAAAGCACACATAGACATTCTTCTGGAATTCCTTATGTTCAGCCAGGATCCATCTGACATAAGCGATTGTATCCCTGGTGCTACAGCCTCTGCTAAATCCTTCTTGAACTTCTGGTAGTTCTTGAACTGCGTACTGTTCTAGACATTTTTGAATGATCTCCACTGGAGAAGGATGAATACTCTCTTCCTGTGTGTTAACTGCCTCTGAAAACTGACTGCAAGGTCAGCTGTTGGGTCAGTTCTGACTTCATGGCACACAGCAATTGTGACATATAATATATAATCTTTTTCTCTCACTCTCATTGCTCTCCGACGGAACAAAATCATAGGTGATCCTCTAGAAGGAGTTTATTGCATGGAAGGAGATTGCTCATCTCTATCTTATGGAGCTGCTGATGTATTCAAATTGCCAGAGAGATGCTGTCTTTGGGTTAGTACTGCACTTCCATACGGATCATTCCATCAGAGTCCCATAAACAACCACACCTGCTGTCATTGAGTTCATTCTGTCCAGTAATGTTTCTATAGGAAAGAGTAAAAATGTACCAATGGGTTTCCAAGGCTACAATCTTTATGGAAACACACTGCTACTATGAAGTGGCTAGTGGGTTAAGCTATCAACTAACAATAGTAACAACTACAAAGTACATACACATATATTTATTTATATGTTTTTATATGTTTAAATATACTTACTTTATATGCATCTGTATATATCTATGTGTGCGTATGCACATACATCCCCATTTATCTATTTATTTTAGAGCAGTTTCATCATCTATAACACACAAAATGGGAATAGGCGAGACATAGCAACAAGAACAACAGAACTCCCCAGAGCTACTCAAGATCTCTGGTTCTTGTTGTTGTTAAGTGTTGTAGAGTCAAATATAATTCATAGTGACCCTATGAGCCACCTATCTAAATCCTACCCTATCTTTATTATTCTGTACCTTTTTTATCATCCCCAACACACCTGAGCTTATTGCTGGAGACACTGTTCCACTCTATCTCATTGAGGGTTTTTCTCTCTTACACTGAACCTCCACTTTTCCAAACAAGGTCTATGGAGCTATGATGTAAAAGGATTTTTGGGGTCAGTAAGTGATTACCTTTTTGATTCTTCTTTTCAAAGCTCAATGTTACTTACAATGTTACTTAAATTAAAAGGCCCCAGAAATAGGTGGTATACCAGTTGAGGTATTTCAGCTAATAGATGTTGCCCTGGATGTGCTCACCAAGTTGTGTCAAGAAATCTGGAGAACAACCACTTGGCCAGCTGACTGGAAGAGATCGATATTTCTTCCCATTCCAAAGAAGGGTGACCCAACAGAATGTGGAAACTATAGAACAATCTTATTGATTTCACATGCAAGCAAGATTCTACTGAAGATTATCCAAAAATGACTGGAACAGCATATTAGCAGAGAACTGCCAGAAGTCAGGCTGGATTTAGAAGGGGTCATGGTACTAGGGATATTGTAGCTAATGTTAGATGGATCTTAGCTGAAAGGAGGGAATACCAGAGGAATGTCTATCTATGTTTCATTGATTATGCAAAAGCGTTTGACTGTGTGGATCATAACAAACTATGGCTGACTCTGAGAAGAATGGGAATCCCAGAACACTTGATCGTGCTAATGCAAAACCTATATTTAGACCAAGAGGCAGTCAGTCATCAGAACAGAGCAGGGAAACACTGCATGGTTCAAAATTGGGAGGAGGGAAGATGGCAGTGGAGAGTACAGTTTGAAGAGCCAGAGGGATAGCAAGCTGCATAAAGACGGGACACTAGAGACTACTTCACACTCCATAGAGACTGACCATCACAGCGTGACATGAACAGTAGGAATTTGAATCAGAACTTTTGTTAACACATTATTTTAGAAGCTATAAAAAGTTAACGCCCTGCCATGCCTCGGTTCCATCACTGACCGGGCAAAAGCTGGAACCCACAAGCTGAGCTGCTTTGGGACTCACCTGAAAGGAAAAAGGTTAGTGGGGAAATTGGCTGAATTCTCTTAAGCCCCATTAAAACCTATCAGGTCTGTTGTGCAGTGTGGGCAATAAGAATTGAATCATAACTTTTTTTGAAACTAGTATTGGAACTGTAAGAACACAGCTGCAGCGCGGACTCGGCAAAAAAGGAAGCCACTAGATGAGCTTCTATGGGACCCACTTCAAAGGAGAAAACTTAGTGGGAAAAATGGCTTAATTCTCTTAAGCCCCACTAAGACCCAGTGGGTTTGTTGTGTGATGTGGACGGTAGGAATTTTAATCAGAACTTTTGTTGGATTAGACTCAGAACAAGCACATAGCCTCAGTTGCATTCTGGGCCACATTTTTGTCTGCACTGCAGATCGGCAAAAGCCGGAAACTGCAAGCTGAGCTTCTGAGGGACCTATCTGAAAGGGGTAACCTTGGTGGGGAAATTGACTGAATTCTCTTAAGCCCCACTAAGACCCAGTTGGTCTGTTGTGTGACATGTGGACAATGGGAATTCTAAAAAGAACTTTTATTGATACAAATAGTTTTAGGAACCACAGAATCTTAAACCCGCACTGCTTTACAGAAATTTGACTGAGTCTTCACTGGTCCTGCTAGACCCAGGACTCTGCTCAGGCAGGGGCCACTGGGCGAGGGTACTGGGTAGTGCTGCTGGGTAGGGGCCACTGAGTGAGAACTTCTGACTGGGAGATGGACAGATGGAATTTGATCAGGGACCTCAACTGTGAGCACACCTGGGCAGCTAAAGTCTGAGTGAGGTTCGTCAAGTGGTTGACACACCCTGGTGATTATTTCACCTCCCTGCCTGCCCCACACCATTTGGCTCGACACCTGTGCCTACATGACCCATCAATCAACCTGCCTTTAATCCAGAGCACCTGGATCTGACTTCCCTACAAGAGACTGCTCTCACAGGCTCTGAAAACTGACCTTTCATTTGAGTCACAAATTCAGAGAAATTGTCTTCAGATAAAAAACATATCACTGGCTCAAAATTGGGAAAGGTGTACACCAGGGATGTGTCCTATCTCCATACCTTCTCAACCTCTATGCAGAACAGATTATCTGAGAGGCTGGGATCTATGAGAAATGTGGTGTCAGGACTGGTGGAAGATCTATTAACAATCTACATTATGCAGATGACACAACCCTGCTTGCTGAAACTGAGGAGGACCTGAAGCACTTGCTGCAGAGGGTCAAGGACTGCAGCCTTCAGTATGGATTGAGGCTCAATGTTAAGAAGACAATTCTCACCACTGGACCAATTGATAGCATCAGGGTGGATGGTGAAGAGATTGAGATTGTTAACAACTTTAGTTTGCTTGGTTCCACGGTCAACACTCTTGGCACCAGAAGCCAGGAAATAAAAAAATCATATTGCGATGGGAAAGTCTGCTGTTAGGGACCTCTCCAGGGTACTGAAGAACAATGGTGTCACTCTGGAGACTAAGGTGCGTCTGATACAGGCTATGGTCTTTGCAATCACTTGTTACGCATCAGAGAGTTGAACAATGACTAGGGAGGATAGAAGGAGAATTGATGCCTTTGAGCTGTGGTGCTGGAGAAGAGTATTGAATATACCATGGACTGCCAAGAAAACAAACAGATTCATCCTAGAGAGGGTTAAACCAGGCTTCTCCTTGGAGTCAAGGGTTCTGGGGCTTCATCTGACATATTTTGGACATGTTGTAAGGAAGGACAGGTCCTTGGAGAGGAACATCATGCTTGGGAGGATGGAGGGACAGCATAGGAGGGGAAGACCCTCTGTGAGGTGGATTGATTTAGTAACTGGGGTAATCGGGATGGGTGTGTCAGAGGCAGTGCGATTAGCACAGGATAGAGCAGGGTTTAGAGCTGTTGTACAGAAGATCGCTATGAGTCGCAAGCAACTCGACGGCACATAACGACAACATAGTCTGTAGTACTCTTGATAGCATTACTTGTAAAAAAGTACAAAATTAATAATCACTAATATAACTAATATAATATTTCCTTCCAGTTCAAAGCCTATGTACTGTCCGCTATGGAATGGCTTACATTTTACATATCTGCAACTTCATTTTGATGACACATGCCACTATCATAAATATTACCATGGTAGCCATGGTCAATGGCACAACTCATCAATCTCAGGTCAACATCTCTTCTGAAGAACTTCTTGTGAACTCATCTGATGACCCACATGGACCTTCAGAGAGTCTTCCTGCACGGGTAAGAAATGAGGATTTAATACATACCCTCTTTTTTTTAAGTGAATTGTCATTTAATGTTTCAATAAGATATTCAAAGTTGCATTTTGCACTTTGGACATCCTTCGCTGGAGATCATATTATTCCTGCAGGGATGGATTCTCAGGGAAAGGAAAGGAGGCTGAGCGGGGTCTAAAGGGAAGAAAGCTGAAGATGTACTTCTTGTTGCTACTTTTTGTCTGGAATTTTCTTCTTTACAAAGTTTACATGTAAAAAAATATTTAAAAAATATTGATTTCTAAAAAGTGAAAGATTTAAAGAGATTTCTTAAGAAAAGCAAGAACCTAAATCTAAGTAGCTTACTACAACTTTCTTTATTTCTTTAAGGTCCCTGTGTATAATTGGAGTCCTCAAATCCAGGGAATCATCTTTAGTTCTTCCAACTATGGCATGTTATTAACTCTGGCTCCCAGTGGATATTTGGCTGGAAGAGTAGGAACAAAGCTGGTGGTTGGTGTTGCTTTGTTTGGATCTTCAGTTACGACTCTTTGTAACCCTCTGGCAGCTAATCTTGGACTCGTTTTTCTTATTGTAATTCGAATAGTCCAGGGCATATGCCAGGTACCCAGACATTTTATAAATTTAAGTTGAATATAAATTTGCCCATGACATAACAGCTCAAAAATTATTACAATTTTTATTTTAGGGATCAGCACTTGGGGGTCAGTACGCACTTTGGGAAAAATGGTGTCCTCCACAAGAACGAAGCAGTATCTGCACCATAGCAACAGCAGGTAAAGACATATAATCACCAGGACTACAGTGTAATCCAACAATATTCTCTCACTGAGTTCTTGAATGGTTTTTTTAATTGCATTATTTGTCTTCTTTTGATTCATGCTGAAAAAAGTTATTTAAGGGGATTGTTCCTTTTTCTGTTACATGACCTTCTGTTTTCTCTCCTGGGTTGTTATGTATTACTTAATTTTACATATTTTGTCATTGTGTATTTGTGTGTATGCTTAAAAAAACCACATATTTATGTAGTCAAACTGAACATTCTTTTATGGTTGTAAAGACTTGCACTTCTGCTTATCTTTGCACATGTATAGCTTTGTTTTCTATATTTAATTTTCTAATATATTGAAATTTATACTGGCATTAGGCAAAAAAGTATAACAGCGCTTTCTGATAACAATCTGCTTAGACAGGCTTCTGCACTGAGGATTTTGGAGGAAGAAACCTGAGTTGTATTGGAGAAGGAAAAGAAATAGAAGAAGTATAAATATTAAGCAGAATATTGCCAAAGTAGGGACTGGGTAAGAAAAGAAGTACAACTTAAAAAAGTTGAAGGTATGAAAAGGGAAAGGAACTTTTCAAGACCAGAAAACAAGCTATGCACTACACACTCGTCCTTGTTGAGTGCCCCTTTAAATTTCTTTGCAATCCTGGACAATTAATCTCTAATCAGAACTTTCATTCACTGATGGATGATATGTCTATAGGAACTTGTACTGTAAACCTTTTAGGCTGAACTCTTTTAGTAGCTCAAAGTCACTAGTCATTTGAACCTGCCAGCAACTCTTTGGGTAAAAGATGGACAGTCTTCTCCCATTGAGATTTACAGTCTTGGAAATATGATTGAGGGTTAGAACTGACTCCTTGGTAGTTAGTAAGTGAGCAAATTCAAACTGAAGAAATTCACTTTTGTTACAACACCTGAACAAGAAAGATTTCCAAATATAAATAGGATTTTTATTGTTGTTAATTATTCTTCGTTGGCTTTACTAATGGCTAGCCTATGTGTTACAAGGTAGAACTGCCCCGTTATGCTTTGTTAGGTATGATTTTAACGGGAAACGCTTATAAGGTCTGTCTTGATCTAGTCACTAGATGAATTTGAAGTAGCCACATTTTTAGCCCAGTGCTTAGTCAACCAATTATTTGTACCACCAAGGTTTCTTAAATGAGGATGCTGTTGTATTTCATTGAGTTGGTTTTGACAAATGATATTTTTTCAATGTGAAAGTGTAGAATTTCCCCATAAGGCATTTTTGTTTGTTTGTTTTTTAATACTGACTTATTTATAAATTTCATATACATTGTTTTTCACACCAGATCTTTCCTATTTACTTCATTCACCCCTTCTTCCACCCATCAAATTGTGGGACCCTAAATCACCTCTACCACCCACCCATCCACAGCCCTTTGCTCCCACACTCCCCCTCCGCCCACCTTGTATCCATTTTACAATAATTGTCTTATACAATATTTCTCCTTATGGGACTGAATTAATTATCTTAGCATAATGCTCTCCAGTCCCTCCCAAGATAGGTAGTTGTTATTGTTATGTGCCGTCGAGTCCTTTGCGACTCATAGCGACCCTATGCACAACAGCCCTAA